AATTAAGCACCTTTTTACTTCAAGATGGAAGACCTAATCTCTTCTTTTTTTTATTTTTTTAGATTTATTTATTTATTATTTATGAATACACTGTAGCTGTCTTCAGACACACCAGAAGAGGGCATCAGATCTCATTACAGATGGTTGTGAGCCACCACGTGGTTGCTGGGAATTGAACTCAGGACCTCTGGAAGTGCAGTCAGTGCTCTTAACCACTGAGCCATCTCTCCAGCCCCCCTGATCTCTTCTTAATCACTGCTAATTTCTCAGCTCCAGCTGACCAGCATTGAGTATCCCAGCAAAAAGAAAGTTTCCCTGAAGTAGTTCTGGTATCATGTTAATATCAGATGATTATGCAGCCCCAGTTACCCAGAACCATGGAATCTTAATTCAAATAATAAATGGCCCCATAGAGTCTTTAATCTTCCCTCTGAAACTTCCTGGGCGAGGCCTTTGTAGTCTGCACTGCTCTCAACACTCTTCCAAGCTCCCACGGACAGCTTACTGAGCTCTCAGTGGCTTTTCTAGCCCGAAGTTCCAAAGTTCTTCCACAATCCTCTCCAGAACAACATGCTGAGACCTGTCCCAGCAATACCCTATTCCCCTGGTACCAGCTTGTCTTAGTTAGGGTTACTGTTGCTGTGATGAGACACCATGACCAAAGAAACTTGGGGAGAAGAGGGTTTATTCAACAAACGCTTCTACATCACTGTCCATCAAAGGAAGTCAGGACAGGAACTCAAGCAGGGCAGGAGGATGCAGAAGCCATGGAGGAGTGTGCTTACCGGCTTGCTCCCCCTCTCTCATGGGCTCTCCTTGACACTCCAACACTGTCAGTGGTTGTGACTGAGGGCCAATCTAAAGTCCTTAGAAACTGGAATCTGGCCAGGCAGTGGTGGTGCATGCCTTTAATCCCAGCACTTGTGAGGCAGAGATTTCTGAGTTCCAGGCCAGCCTGGTTTACAGAGTGAGTTCCAGGACAGCCAGAGCTACAGAGAAACCATGTCTCGAAAAACAAAAAAAGAAAAAAGAAAAAAGAAATTGGAATCCTTCTGCTCTGAAAATTCTGAGGCTGTCACAGAAATGTCCCAGAGGCTGGTTGACTGCCAGCCTTCAGCAGTCTATGCACCGTGTGAGCACCATGCTGTGGAGTCTGGGATGATGGTGAGCACCATGCTGTGGAGTCTGGGATGATGGTGAGCACCATGCTGTGGAGTCTGGGATGTTGTCTAAGGCCTCAAGCCCTCCTATCTCACTAGCTCTGCTCTGTGGTCTGATTTCATGTCACACTATCTGAGCTATAGAAGTGGACCCTGTGTGTACAAGCTTCTCTCAAATCTATATTTTCCTCATTTTTACTCTATGCCCCCTCAGGATGGAGACAGTGTGGAGATGAGGGAGTAAGATGAATGCACACACTTCCTCTATAGTTTCCATTTTTTTCTGTGTGAGCTTTGCCTCATTTTCCTTCTCTGCAGGGAATCTGGCAGGTCTCAAAAAATGGGAAAGCTCTATTCCAGTCCTAGGTCTACTATGCTGTCTGCTGTTCCCATTCACACTGTACCTTCCTTCAGAAGAGAGAGTTTAAAATACAAAAGAAAAAAAAACCTACTTGTTTCTTTCACTTAAAAGATAACCATATGTTTTCACATAGAACCAGGCTGGGGTTAGATGTGAGTTCAAGGCTTTCAAGTCCAGCACTGGGGAGGCATACCTCTGAGGCTTGCTAGCCAGAAAGCCTCAATCACTTGGAAAGCTCCAGGCCAAGGAGACACTCTGCCTCAGAAAATAAGGCCGACGTGTTTCTGAGAATAACACGTGAAGTTGTTTTCTGGCCTCCAAATGCATGTGCACACACTCAGGTTCGCATACATACACCCGCATGAAGTGCACACACACACACACACAAGAATTCAAGTCTGATGAATGTTATAACATGGATTAAACTTGAAAACATGTTAATAATAACAAGCCAGACATAAAGCAATGTTAAATAATTCTACTATATTAAATATCTCGTTTGTTTTGCTCTCTTTGTTTGACATAGTCTCATGTTGCTCAGACTGGTCTTGAATCTGCTGCGTAGTGGAGAATGACCTTTACCTGGTCTTCCCCTGCTTTACATCCCGTGTTGAGATTAAAGGCATGAATCACATGGCCAGCTATATTAGGTATCTAGAATAGGCAAAGTCAGAGTCAGAAAGTAGGAGAATGTGGAATTAGAAGGTTCAGAATTTTTTTTGTTTGTTTTTCTTTTTTTTTGGTTTTTCGAGACAGGGTTTCTCTGTGTAGCCCTGGCTGTCCTAGAACTCACTCGGTAGACCAGGCTGGCCTCGAACTCAGAAATCAGCCTGCCTCTGCCTCCCAAGTGCTGGGATTAAAGGCATGGGCCACCACTGCCCGGCCAGAATTTTTTATTAGAGTGATGATAAAATTCTGGAAACATATCATGATAATGAGTGCACAAGATCAATCATGTAATCTATGCTAATGTTGTAGTAATTATTTAATCTCAGCTGGGGCTTTCTTCTGCACCTTAGATCATTCAGTTGTCAGATAAAAGACACAAAACCTTTATATTTATGATACGCCTTTAAAGCACTAGAACTGGGCAGATTTCAACCCTCTAAGCTATTACTATCTACTTCCCTATCAATAACCCCGAGTATAAATTGTCATATTCCGTCTGGGCCACTCTTAACTCTAATTGGCCAGTCTTCAAGGCTATGTTTTCATGACTGACCTACTCTATTATGTCTTTTCCTCTCTCTTCCTTCTTTCTTGGTTCTCCTGCCTCAGACCCCAAGTTTGGAAACTAAAACTCCACCTGTAAGATTAAATGAGACCAACTGGTTCCACGGGAGTGGGGTTTATTAAGGATGGAGGGTGAGAGAGAGAGGGAGACAGAAGATGGCGGAGGAGAAAGAGCGAAGTCGGGAAGCTCCGCCTATTTATATGGATGAGAATGATGATGTAGTTTCTGTAGCCAGGCGGGAATTGTGGGAGTGTCCCCCTGGTTGCCTAGGCAACGATGCGCCACCACTGAGTTTGAACCCATACCAACACCACCTATCTGTCTTCTGCCCAGTTATAGGCTGTATGCATCTTTATTGACCAATCAGGGATTACTTGGGGGCAAGGTTACATAGCATCACTTAGTGTTTGGGAGGATCTCCTCATCCCTGAGGCAACCAGGAGACCAGTATTTAGCATTACAATACATAGCAACTGACCAAGACTCAATAACTTGTCCATTTAAAAATAGTAAAATATGGGTCAGCAGGTAAAGGTGCTGACACTCAAGCCTGCCAACCAGAGTCCAATCCTCCCAAATTATAACACTTACTGTTATGTCCTCAAAACGTTTACAGAGGAAAATATATGAAAGAGTAGAGCAGACAGCTTGAAACATCTGGCTTGCTTTGTTTCTCTAAGTCTTAACTCAAGGAACAGAGATATTGGTCCATATACTGAAATTTAATCTTATTTTAGACAACAGACCTTCTCAGCCTACCCTTCTTTGTTCTCTCCAGATGACACAGGATCAGTGTTAACAACCACATCAGAAGGGGCTGGAGAGATGACTCAGTGGTTATAAGAACTGACTCCTTTTCAGAGAACCCAGGTTCCAGTGCCCTTAACTGTCTGTTGACTGTTACTCACTGACCCGTGTTTCTACCCCACACCAGGCAGTTCACAACTACCTTTAACTCTAGCTGCAGAGGAGGATCCAACAACAATACCAAAGGTTCTGCACTTATGTATATGGACATAACCAGACCTTGAATTTCTGATCTTCCTATAGTATAACCAATTTAAGCTTATCCCTGACTAGCATACAAATAAATGAGATTCAGAACTAGGGTTATTTTATTTGACTTTGACAATTACTGGGGGTTTGCGGGTAAGCCCTAATCTACTCTTCTAACTGCGGGCCTGGCCACCTCCTGAGCGGTGTACTCCAGATACTTGCTGTTTCTCTTGGCCACATGCTCACCATCCATCTCCACTCAGGGTGGCTTCCTCCTCTCCTCTCCTCCCTCCTTCTCTCCTCATTCCTCTCTTCTCTATCTCTAACCAGGTAACTAACTCAAAGCCCACCTACCTCTAAACCCCCCAGTAATTGGCTGTAGCTAATTTTATTTAAACAATAGTTTAAAATCAAGGAACAAGATTTGCACAACAAAAGCTTGTAAATGTAAGAATTCACTTGTAGGCCTAGACCTTTGGGTACAGATTAGCACTACAATACCTATCGACAGACCAGGCCTCTGCATCTTCCCACCCATCCGGTGCTTGGATTACAGGCACATGCCCCATGCCCCATTCATCTGGTTCCTACCATATTTATGTGGGTCTGGAATTAAACCCAGGGCTTCATATATGCTAGATAAGTACTCTATCAAATGAGCTATAGCCCTAGCCCAATAGGTCTTGATTAATATAATGTTATATAGTAACCAGGGAGAATTTAAAGAAGCCAGAAATCTATGGACAGTAATTGTAAACATGTCCAGAAATTTCATTTTCTGTAGACCTAGGTGTGAGAGGTGAGGATTAGACTTTTCCTATCTGTAGCTTTCCCAAGTGGCTAGAACTTGCTCTGTGGTGTTTTTGAGTGCCATAGATCACTTACGGTGTAGCTTATATGATGTGATGACGTATGGTACCATAGCTATGCTGTGAAAACTCTTGTTTTGGGATCCATGCAGCCATTACTGTGTGGTGGATCAGTCTTGACTATATGGATTTAGACTTGGTCTTTGGAAAAATACCTCAGACTTAGGACAAAAATGGTCACTGTGAGCATTTCAATATTCCTACATGTAACAGAGGCAAGGATGGCAGGGCAGGGTTGTAGTGGCAATAATGTGAAGCCAGGGCAGGAAGATGGGATTTCAAGGCCAGCATATGCTACAAAGCAACATCCTGTCCCAATCAAAAAAGAATAAGGGTCAACAGCAGAAAGTTGTCCAGCTCAGGCTACCATACGGACAAACTGCATCACCTTCAGTTTCATTGATTTTGATATATTGGGGATTGAGTCCAAGGCCTCTCAGCTTCGAGGCAATAGCTCTCTGCAACGAAGCCCATTCCCTTCTCCACTTAAATAGGTTTGTTTTGTTAACATTTTAAGACAGTCTAAGTTGTTCACTGTATCTCTCTGGCAGGTCTGAATCTGTGATCCTCATGCTTCATCCTCAGTAGCTGGGATGATAGGCCTGTGCTGCCCATTCCAGCATGTATCCTTCTCCTGAGGGAATTCACATGTTTATTACATGTAGCCAGGAGAAACACAAGGGTCATTATGGAGTCTAAGGTGATAAGTTCCTAGCAACCTTAGGGGGCTAAAACAGGGTATCTATGATACATGTATGATAAACCACTTCAACCTTAGTGATTCTAATATGCAGTAAGAATTTTGGTTTCTTTAAAAACATAGAAATATTATAAGAATGTGTTTTCATTTTAATCCCAAGTGTGGGATATGAGGTTGTGTACAGCAGCTGACTATAATTTGCTTCGTGCTCTAGCAGGGGTGTCGTCCTGTCAGCAGCAGATAGTTTCGGCAAGTGTGTGATGTTTGAAATTCTGGGGACTCTTCAGAGGGTATACAAATGCTAGGGCCCTGAGAGGTGTGTGGGTTGGTGGAGGGTTGCAGTTTGTTAAGTAGTTGTGTGCAAAGAAGAAACAACAAGAAGAATTTAGATATCCTGATGGCAAAGATCAAACTTGTCCCAAGGAACTCTATTCCCCAACTCAGAGGGAAGTAGTCTAGGGGTAATGCCACACCCTTTCTCTTCTACCCTTTATTCTCTCCTATCTAGTGTTAGGTAGGGGGTTGAAAGGGAGGAGGAAGAAGCTTAGAGAAGGGTGGACAAAAAAGGAACCCACAAAGTAGCCAAAGGTTCAGCTACAGTAATGTAAAAGTAACTTTTATTCTCCTGTATGTAATTGTTCTCTCTGAGGCTTACTGCCTCTGCCTGCTAACCTAGGCCTAGTTCCGGAAGCTTCCTTATAATCTTATCTAGGACTAGAATGTTTTCAGCCTCTGAGACTTACTGCTGAATAAACTCACACCTTCCTAGTTCTTTCTGATCTCTGACTATTCTGGCTCAAAACTCCTCTCCATGTTAACTGATTCAAACTGGCTTCTTTCTCAGCCTCTGTTTTGTTTTTTTGTTGTTGTTGTTGTTTTTCTCTGCTTGGCCTCATATTAACTTTGGCAATATGCTCTAATCTTCTGGCTCCTTCTTATTCTCTGGTTTGTTCCCTCTTCAATCTTTTTCTGTAAAACTCTCCTGGTAAAACTCCCTCCTTCTCCTTCTGGGTCCTCTGGAGGAAGTCAGTTCTCTTACTGAGTGAGCCATTGCTCCAGCTCCTGCAACTCTCTCTGTAGACCAGGCTGGTCTGTACTTATAGAGAGCTGCCTGCCTTTGCCTCCTGAGTGCTGGGTTCGAGGCTGTGCACCACTCACCCCACCCGTGCACCCATGCCCCAGGCTGTGTGTGTCCTCTTGACCAAGGCTCCCAAGGCCATCTCACGTGTTTTAATAACTTCTGTTTCAAAGCTGTAAAGGAATCAAGAGGTCTCTCCCCAAAATAAAGGTTGAGTTCAAATCTAGGGCCTTGTGCATGCCAGCCACTTGCTTCTTCACCAAGCTACTCCCAGCCAGCTCTATTTTTGAATCTCTAATTTTGACTATCAGCATCTAAGATCTTACAGCGATGGATATGTTTGTCTGACACCCTTCAGCTACTCACAGAATCTGTGTCCCAGTTCTGATTCTGACTAAATATCCTAAGAGATCTGCATTCTTTCATGTATCCATTGAGTACAGATGCTGGATAAAATATAGGAATTCATTTAACCTGGAATTGCAGATAGATAATAATGTTTTAATATGTCATAATAGTTATACATGTTTATATGAAAGGGGTCCAAAAATATATTTGAGCTTGAAAATTAATGCAGGATTTGCTAAAGGAACTATGCTTGCTTTCTCTCTCTCTCTCTTTCTTTCTTTCTTTCATTGTTTTATTTTTTGAGACAGAATTTTTCTGTGTAACCCCTGCTGTCTTGGAACTCCCTTTGTAGACCAGGCTGGCCTTGAGATCTGCCTGCCTTTGCCCCCTTTTGCTGGGATTAAAGGTGTGTCCCACCACAGCCTAGCAGAAACTATGTTCTTTATGATCCCAAAGGCATAGGTAAAACTATATCATGGCTCACCCAAAAATACCCCACAAAACAAAAAACAACTAAACAACAAAAATCTGAGTTCGTCTGCCGGGCAGTGGTAGCGCACGCCTTTAATCCCAGCACTTGGGAGGCAGAGGCAGGCGAATTTCTGAGTTCGAGGCCAGCCTGGTCTACAGAGTGAGTTCCAGGACAGCCCGGGCTATACAGAGAAACCCTGTCTCGAAAAACCAAAAATAAAAAATAAAAAATAAAAAAAATTTGAGTTCACTGCTATCTGCCAGTTCCCACCTGCATCCATCTTGGGAGATAGAGAATCAGTACAAGTTTAAATTCAAGGCCAACATGGTATTGTTACAGGCCAGCCACGCCCAGAAGTGGGACCCTGACTCAAAATCAACCAATCAGTCAATCAATCAATCAAATCAAAGGGTGTATTAGAGGTTTCTATGTATTTTTTTTTAACTTGATAAATCTGTCAACCCTATTTTGAGGCTGACTACAGCTTTCCCAGGTCTGTCAATTATAGAATAAGAAATCACAAAGACTGAAGAAGTTTAAATGTGTGTTATGGTTAATCAGTTTCCGCTGGATTTAAAGTGCATTCCTCCATTTGTTTGACATGCATTCTCAGACTACTAGAAGAATTTGGTAGGCAAGCCAAAACATAAAAACAATTAATACATTTCTTTTTTTTTTTTTAATGTGAAACGGAACTTGAATAATTGCTCAGTGGTTAAAAAAATGCTTGTACTCACGAAATAAGGGCATTGGCAACCACTTTTGATCCCAGCACCAGTGAGGCAGAGACAGTAGGACCTGTGACTTGAGACCAGCCTGGTCTACAGATAAAGTTCTAGGAGAGCCAGGGCATATCAGACAAATGTTAATTGACTGTAAAAAAATTTTTTTTACCTCTTTAAAAATATTGGATAAATGAACATACTAAAAAGTTACAGTTGTAAATGGTTTTACAATGAAATCCAAGCTTCCCCTCCTTAGTGACTCCTAGTTACAGGACAAGGTGCTTAATAAAACTTAAGCGGGGGGTAGGAAGACTGGGTCTAACGAAGGATTTGTAGCGTTAAGTGGATTCCTTGAATATGTAATTTTTCAATATTTAAACCTTCCTTTCTTCTCTCCCCTCCCCCTCCCTCCCTCCCTCCCTCCCTCCTTCTCTCTCTCTCTCTCCCTCTCTCTTTTTTCTGGGTCTCACGATCGCCCTGGCAGGCCTGAAACTCACACTGTAGACCAGGCTGGCCTGGAACTCACGGAAATCCACCAGCCTCTGCCTCTGGAGTGCTGGGGTAAAAGTGATGGGCCACCACATCCCTCAATGTAGATTTTCTGTTTGCGACAGGGTCTCACTCCGTCTACCTTGATCTCAGGAGATACCCCGGCTTCTGCCTCCCAAGTGGTGCGTTCTTAGTGCACCGCCACGCCGGGTCCCTACTGTGCACTTCTGTGAAAAAAGATCAGTTCTAAAGTTAGTTGATCTAAAAGATCAATTCTTAAAGTTGAAGAGGGTTCTCGTCTACAAACTCACTGAAACGAGTGTGTGTTGGAGAGCCACAACACGGCGGGTAAATACCATCCCAACTAACGCCCAGCCTCCCCAGTGCCTCGCCCTTTAGGAACTCGCACCCAGCGCCCCCACGGCGGTCCCCGCTCTTTCTCCGCAAGTTTTCCGCCTGCCGCATTCCTTCCCGGGCGCGTCGGCGCGCGCTGACGTCACGACGCAGCACACGCAGCCCCGCCCATGCAGGGCTGAGCGCCTGGACGGAACTGAGCTCGCTCTCCTGTTGGGAATGTGAGGCTCTTGGTTCAGTCGTACTCTGCGTTTGTCCCGATCTTCCTGATCTTCCGTGTCCGCCGCTGCCGCCGCCACCACCACCGCCAGCACCGTCTGCCCTCAGCTCGCGCGCGCACGCGGAGGCCGGGCACCCGGGTCCGAGAGGCGCGCGCCCGCGTGGTCGCCGCCCCTCGGAAGCCTCCGAAGCCGCACACGGGTTCGCTACGGAGGGAGGCGGAGGCCTGCGGGAGGAGGCGGAGGAGGAGCGAGGGAAGATGGCGGCCGTGGAGCTCGAGTGGATCCCGGAGACGCTCTACAACACCGCCATCTCCGCTGTCGTGGACAACTACATCCGCTCGCGCCGCGACATCCGCTCCTTGCCGGAGAATATCCAGTTCGACGTTTACTACAAGGTACGGCCGATCTGCTCGATCGGACCCTGCCGCTGCTCCCGGGCCGCACCCCCTTCCACGTCCACGGCCCGGCCCGTAGCCCTCGAGGCACGGTCGGCTGCGGTGGCCGCTTTCCGATACCCGCCACTCGCCATCCCCGCGTCTGCCTCCGGGTCTGTGCGGCCCGGGGGGTTCTTTTGCGAGTGCTACCCGCCATCCCCTTAGGGGCCCCAGGGTAGGCCTACGGGGAATGCCTGGCCCAGCCGGGTCCTACCCGGTCCTCTTGTCGCTGGGGTATTTTCTGCCCTGTCCTCTCTAGTGTTAGTATCAGCTGCACTTTTTTGTTCCGCTCCACCCCCAGTTCTCTCTACTTTGTTATCTCGTCGATCCTCTTTACCCGAGTAACTGCTTTTTTCTATTTTTTTTTTCCCTCCCTTCGCTGGTCGGAGTTCCGTCCCTTTTCCTTTCTCTCAATCCGAAGTGATTTAGTTAGGGCTTATTGGAAATAGTCTGCGGGCTTCATTTGCATATCCTTGAAAGCTTTTTGTGTGGTTTCGGGTTCTGTTTTGGTTTTTTGGTTTACACTTTCTGTGGAATTGGGAATTTTACTAATGGGAGAGTGTTGACTGGCTCTATAGAAAGGACGCAGTGAAATTCCCTCAAAGCAAGAAGGAAAAATCTAAATTATACCTCTGTGTATGAAAAGTGTGATTTTGCAGCATTCTTGAGTAGCTCCCCCTCAAAAATCTGAACAGAAAGTCCCAAGTTGCTCTCCAAGGAGTTTCAAGGGTAAGTGTCCTTAGACGTGGACAATTTTTGCAGTGTTCTGAGAGGGAGGAGAACTTTATGGACTTGGAGCCTCCCTTTTCCTCTCCCCCACATTTGAATGTGAACACTGGACGTATTCAGTGATCCTTGCTTTGAGTCAGCGAGAACTTCAGTTTCCAGTAGCCACTTTTGCAAAATATGACCAGTAGAGGTTTTTTATTTTAGATCTTTAGTGGTACCTGATCAGTTAGTTGTCTCTCAGCATTGTAGTGTGATACTTAGCAGATTTGTATGTTTTTGTATTTGTTTGGTGTTTCAGGGCGTTTGTTTTATTAGAGAGATTATCTGCTTTTTCCAGCTTGAGAACATTTTTTCAGAATTAGCAACTAACATACTGCAGTCTATAAACCCTGCTGCTTTGCACCAACTCTTTAACAGGTAAAATCATTTCCCTCCTAAGTATCTGGACAAGATTCATTTTGACAACGTATGTTAAAATTTTTGGATTTAGAAGGAAACCTCCCCCCATTCCAAGTGGTTTTGATACATTGATTACTTGTGTGTGGCTAATGTTAATTTTATGCATTTAAGCTACATTGGTCCCAAGGACAAATTAGTTTGCTTTTCTCAACCTGGAAAACTGCTGCAGTATGTGCTATTTCTGTCGATCTTATTAAGTCATATGCATATGTATACACCTTCTAGAGCAAATCGCTGGGACTCTAACCAGTAAAAATACCCCTACTCTCTGAATTCTGTCAAAATGCTTTTAGTAACTTTTAGTACCTTCCACTAAAATTAAAGCTTTTCCTTTGAAGATTATTGTTAATGAGTATGAACAGTTATTGGTTTTGGCCTGTGTCCTATCTCTGTGTGGTTCAGAGTTTTCATATTGCTTTTTTGGGAGCATTTTATTTTATAGTCAGATACTTGATGTGCAAGGCTTGGAGCTGTGGTAAATACTGTTATCTGTTACTTTGTTTAAGCCTTATAACTAAATTCACCGGTGAATTCACCCTGCTAAAACCTTGTTTCCTTTTTCTTTTTTAAAAAATAAGAATTATTTATTTTATTTATGAGTACACACTGTAGCTATCTTCAGGCACACCAGAAGAGGTCATTGGATTCCATTACAGATGGTTGTGAGCCACCGTGGGATTGCTGGGAATTGAACTCAGGACTTGGATGAACAGTCGGTGCTCTTAACCATTGAGCCTTCTCTCCATCCCTTCTTTTTCTTATTTATGCTTTTGCTGTTCTGGAAGTTGAATTTAGGGTCTAGCTCATGCTAGACAAGCATTCTACTACATTCCCAGATTTCTCTTAACTTTTTATGTATTTATTTTGAGACAGGATTTCAACTCTTCGGCTGGCCTGGAACTCTATGAAGACCAGACTGGCTTCTTCACTCAGAGAGATATACCTGCCTCTGCCTTCTGGTGCTGAGATTTAAGCCTGAGCTATAGGGCCTCAGTGCCAGACAAATCTCTGTGAGTTGAGGCCAGCCTGGTCTATATATGTAAGGAGTTCCAAACTGGTAACAACTACACAGAGAGACTTTGTCTTACAAAATAAAGTAAATTAAAATAAAAGCCTAAGCCATTACTGGGTCAGCTTTTTATTTTGATACAGTGTTTCATTAAGTTGCCTGGTATGGCCTTGAATTAACAAAGTAACCCTACCAGGCCTTGAAATGCTTTAGCCTCCCAAGTAGCTAGGCTTACAGGCCTGTACCACCATGTCCAGTTTAGGTTGCTTTTTAAAATAGCGTATATTCTGACTGTAGAGATGGCGAAGTGGTTAAGAGCCCATGGTGGGAACCAGCTGTGGTGTTGCACTTGTGTCTTTAATCCTAGCACCTGGACTGGAGAGGCAGTCGGATCTGTGTGAGTTCTAGGCCAGCCTGATCTAGATAGATAGCAAGTTCCAAGACAGCCAAAGTTACACAGAAAAGCCCCGTCTCAAAACAAACAAAAAAATGAAACCGACCAAACAAAAGATTTTACTTAGTATAAGAAGCATTAAATTATTTTGGGAAAATGAACTAAGAAAAATCTGAAGCACAGTGGTGTGGAGAAGTGCACTTTATGATACCTGGATATGTTAATACTCGATGACACTGGCACAGTATCAGCAGCGTGAGAGATTGAGTATCCCACAGCCCAGAAAGACTAAAACAATTTGAAATTTTATAACATATAATGAAGTTAAGAGACAGTGCTCTATTTCAGATCAAATGGGAAAAGATTTTTGAGATGCTTTATTTAGATAACTGGCTGTTTGGTAAGTTAGACCACTACCTCAGATCATGTACCAAAATGAACTCCATGAGGTTATAGTTTTAAATATATCTATTAGAATCAACAGAGTAAGTTATCAGATCAGTCTCTTACTAAAATTTATTACTTAAATAATTTTAAAGGTAATTTACAAATTACAAAAATATTGCATAAAAATAAATGAAATGTAAAGGTTGCTTTTCTTGCCAACACTGCAATGCTATCTTGGCATGGAGAAGACTTAAGTGAACCCAGAAGCCTGGAGGAAAAAGCATGAGGACCTGAATTCAGTTGTCAGGATAGACAGGAAGTTTCCCTGTAGTAACTGCTAGCCAGCCTAACCTAATTGGTGAGCTTCAGGCCAGTATACCGGACGGCCCTGGTTCAAGAGAATGAGATGTTCAGTGTCCTGAGGAACTCTGACACTCAAGATTGTCCTCTGGGTCCCATGCGCACAATCAAAATAGAACCTGAGAGAAAAAAGAAAGTTATTAGAAGCTACCACAGTGTTTGGGAATACAAACTGACATATCTTTGTTGTTTTTGGTTTTTTGAGACATGGTTTCATTATGTAGCCCTGCTTGTCCTGGAACTCAAAACTCTGCCTTGCCTCTGCCTCCTGAGTGCTGGGATTAACGGCCTGTGCCACCACACTGCCTGGCTGGCAACATGCCAATTTTAATGTTTACAGTTTATACTTGTGTGTGTTTCATGTATCCATATATATACCTGCATATGGAGGCCATAGAACAACAACCTAGGGTATCATCTTCAAGATGACTACCCATCTCTTGACACAGTGTCTCATTGGCTAGACTGGCTGACTACAGTGTCTCAAGGATCTTACTGTCTCCACTTTCAAGTATTCAGCAGAGTGCCATCCTTACATGGATGCTAGGATTTAACTCTGGTCTTCATGCTTACAAAGCAAGCAAGCACTTTATTGATTGAGGTAACTCCCCTGCCTCCATTTCCTTCCTTCCTCTGTTCCCCTACCTACCTTACCCTTCGCTTCCCACCCTCTGATGTTGTTGATAAATGGTCTCCTGTAGCCAAGGCTGCCCTAAAATTCATGAGCTGCTAGCTCTTAATCTGTGGGTCTAGATTCTTTTCCGGTTTCATATCAGATATGCTACATATTAGAACTTTACATTATGATTCATAACAGTAGCAAAAATAACAGTTATGAAGTAGCAGCAAAAGTAACATTATGGTTGGGGTCACCACAGCATGAAGAACTGTATTAAAGGGTTGTAGCATTAGGAAGGTTGAGAACCGCTGATTTATCCTGTTCCTCCTAAGTGGTAGGATTATAGGTACATGCTACCATGCCTGTTTTTTTTTTTTTTTTAATACATTTGTGTTAGAGAGAGTGAGTGTGTTTGGGCATTTGTACACAAGCCAGATGACAATGTACTGCAGTAATTTCTCTTTCATTCTTGAGCCTCAGAGATCAGACTTGGGTCCTCAGGCTTGGCAGCAAGCCTTTGCTCACTGAAACATCTTGTTAGCACAGAGGTGCCATTTCTTATACTCTAGCATGGTAGCATATGCCCATAATTAGCAGTTCGGAGGCTAAGACAGGGTAGGGATTAAGAAATGAAAGGCCAATCTGGTAGCCTGATGCAAATAGTGAGATTCTGGTTTTGTTGTTGTTTAAAGTCATGTCCTAGTCTTTTTTTTGGTTTTTCGAGACAGGGTTTCTTTGTGTAGTCCAGGCTGTCCTGGAACTCACTCTGTAGACCAAGCTGGCCTTGAACTCAGAAATCCGCCTGCCTCTGCCTCCCAAGTGCTGGGATTAAAGGCTCGCACCACCACTGCCCGGCTGTCCTAGTCATTTTTATTATAGAAAGTCTCTCACCTATTTTACCCCTTGTATTTGGATGGAAATGTAGATATTATTTCACCTATGATATTTTAATAACTAATACTCTAGCATAATGCATGTCTGATTTCAAATTGCTTGTTTCAGTC